AAATAATTACTTCAATATTCCGCGATCCGATATTCTCTGGTTCTCTGATTCCTTGATCCAAGCAAAATTCACTTAATCCAAATGAAAGGTTGCTGAGAGGTATTGAAATAATGATTTACTCGAATCTAACATCTTTTTTCTGTGCATGTAAGGTTATTATCATTCGGTCTGTTGCAATTTCAAGTAGAATCTCAATATTGATGCGGTAGTAGTTAAACGGCGACGATTCGCGCGTAGTAGACTTCAATGCCTGCGTTCAGTGCGGCGCGTGTTGCTCGCGATCAAAGAAAGAAGATTATGCAATGAGCTACGTTTTTTTCATTATCTTAGTGATCCGTGCGTTTTTTTTTTAAGGCAAGTGCTTTTTATATTCCGTTATAAATATTTCTCAATATTCCATCGATTCAGATATTTTTATTTTTCCGTGTGATAATTTTTTACCTCTTGATATCATTATTTTTCTTGAGAATACAAGATTAAATTGGTATAACTCAGAATCAATGTTCAATATAACAACTTTCTTTCAGAAACAAACTTTTCTTTTAAATATTAAAACACAAACGATTATTCACGCGCACTTAAATCCCTTTTTTACCTTTCTCCTGCAAAAGGTAATTTTTCACATATACATTATCGCCAGTCAGCGACTGTTTCGGAAATTAGAATGTCCCATCAAGCACCCATGCACAGTGTCCAATTGTGTATGACACAGTGTCTGTCCGTGTTTTCCTTATAAGAAGACACCCTAGAATTACTGATTCCCGGTTTCACTTTGTGAATAAATCGCCCGGTCCGCCTTCGCCGCACATATCACGAAGGCACCGATAACGTCGAGTGCATCGGCGAATCACGAAGAAAAGTGGAAAGCCGAACGATGTGCTCCAAGCGCCCCGGGGAGAGAGGGGCAGGAGAGGGAGGGGGGCTTAATCATTTAGACTATTTGCCCCCGTTGGAGCACGCCAGGCCGTATACAGGCCTTCGGTTCCCAGGCTGTCGGCAAATTGCGGCTTACCGCGCCGGCACGGTTCTTATCCTCGCGCACTCGTCCAGGTAATTCTTCGCGGGGCCCGCTCGTTGGTCGCGTTCTTATCGGAAACGGCGCGAAACAACAAGCGAAATCAGCCCCGCTCCGCTCGCTCGCCGGCATGCATCGCCGTGGCGAACGGGGAAAAAGTGGAGCGTGGTGCCTGCCCGAGCCTGATTCGCCGCCGCCGCCTGAGTCTTACCCTCTTCTTCGCGATGATTCGCCTCCACCCCCGTCCGCGTAATCTTACTTTATCGTGCCGGCTTCGCGAGGCGCTATCCGCGAATCTTATTAGCCGCGCGCAGGGGAAGCCTGCACATATATAACTTACGTTGTAGTTACTTTTAATAATGCGTCAGCGGCGGGCCCAGAGTCGGGCTGAATAATATTGTTTCTTCTATCAAACAATATGGTTTATTCTCAGTGAAACAACAATCTTTTCGTTTAGACAAAATGATATTAAATTGATGTTAAATTACGTCGTTTATATTGAACAAACCAAGAGACCGCACGATTCAAGTCAAACAAACCCGAAGAAACCCCCTTTTTCCGCGTACAGTGACATTCAGTCATTGCACAAATTCCAATACAGACATAAGATATTAATAGAAAAGTCTTACTTTCAGAATTCTTTCTACCGTCGATCCACCTTCTCCACTTCTTTCTCCTCGATATTCCGTTACATCAATCGCACGCGACCCTAACGAGGAGGGAAAACGACGATGACAGCGACGCGATGTGTCCCTGCGCGAATTGATCGAAGGGGGGATGACATTTTCCTCATTTTTCCCCGTTCTTTTTTTTTACAAACTTACTAGGAAGTGCGACGGACGTTTCGCCGATGTCGCCGTTATTATGGAAAAACGGTGACAGCGCGTGTGTAATTTTAATATTATCGGACCTGTCGTGCGGACGCCGCTCGCTCGTACGTACGCACGTACGGTGCAATTTCATCGCAATTCGTGGGCAAATGTAAGCGTTCCTCGCTCTAGGAAGCCGCCCAGCAGCAGCAGGGTGGAAGTGGCCGCGCGCTTCCGTGTACACCCGCACTCGTCACGTTCACTGACTGTCCGTATTATTAATATTTCACGTATATGCGCTCGCACTCTTTCGTCCCTTCCCACCCCGCGCGGACCGAAGCTAGCCGCCTCCTCCCACCCTCTCCTTTCCTCTCCATACTCGCTCTTACGCCCCTTGACCGTAGCACCTTTCGCTGCGGCGTTATTTCAATTGCAAATCGATAGTGAGTCGTGGATGGACGTGCACGAGGCGGCGACTCGCCGAGATCCTTCGACGGTTGACGGGAGGACGCGAGTAAGCGATGTAATCTGCTCGGTGCGCTTGATGGTTTTTTCCAACTTGACAGTTGTATTCCAACTTGAAAGTTAATCCTCAATTTTTCACGATTTTATATCAGAGGGGAAGATTTGCGATCGAATCACACGGTGAATAACGTAACGATCCATACGAGGGAAAATAACTTGGAAAGAAAAATGTCTGACATTTCGAACTGTAATCCCGGCCGGAAATGAAGAGTCGAATCGACGTCGATTTTAGTGGTCAATCGACGGCCGAAATTTGCAGTCGATTCAACCTAAATATGGGCTTAAATTTTGACCAATCGTCGACATTAGTCACTATAATTACGAAGTATTGTTCGCAAAATGACATTAATACAAACGAGATGAAACGAACTAATGTCGGATAATTTTGTTTGAATAAAGGAAGACTGTCGCTTTATCTTTTGCATCATCTCATCTTATATGCATACCGTGCGAGTCGCCACGATCCTTCGGCCCCTTTCGTCAAACTTCTGAACGCTGCTGGGGTCGAATCGTTCATAACGGCCGTCAGACGCGTCGCGATTCGCATCTTGACATGAAACGAAAATGACTTTTTCCGTTAACCTCTCGAACGGCATTTAAAATCGACGATGAGAAGCGCCAGGGAAAGGGGACGGAAAGTCAATAGTTCTATAGTCGAGGAGATTCTCGATGATGATGATGATGATGAGGAGGAGCCGTGTCCGGAGGATTGCAATCGACAGGACAACGCGGAAGCAGGTCCCTCGCATGAAGTAACGCGTCGTTCGTCTAAAATCTCCGGAAATCTCTTGGAAAGTTGCTTTTGAAAAGCAGTTACCGTTATCGTTACTCAGAAAATAACGAGAGTAACATCATTTACAATTTCCAATTATAATCATTTGCATTAAAAATTATTTATTAAATTTTTATTACATCTATTTATTTCTACACACACACACACACACACACATATTTTCATTATATTTTATTTATATATTTATTGCAATTATAGAGTTTCTGTTACCTTTGCACTTTGCATTATCGAGGACCATCCTTCAAAAATGCCAATCTGCTAGGATTTTGTCTTCGTTCGGCGCGTTTAAGAGTTACGAATTTTTTCCTTCGAGTAGAAAAATCGTATGTTTTCTTCTGCGTTTTTCTTACAGAAAAAAACATTGTAAACGTTGAAGGTTAAACAAAATTTATAACCGAGACTTGAAATAATAAATGAAGGTTAAAATAAATTTATAACCGAGACTTGAAATAACAGAGACTTGAAATAATGTCAGAACATTTTTCTCGGTTTTTCCGATTTTTCTTTTACTTACACATAGCGAGAGAAGTGGTTTTTCTCACAGACGACCCACGAATCGCATGACGTTAACGAAAAATAACGAATTATACGAAGAGTTAATTAAAAAAAAGAAAAAAACCAAATTATCAAGCCATTACTGAGGAAAAAGTGACTCGTAACTTTTCGACCCTGCTAAAATCTCATCAGTCTTGTCGATTTCTTACAACCGCGCCGAGTCACGCGCCCAACTTCTATGCGCGAAAGTAACGAAGGGGCAGCTCTGAAATTTATTTCGCGTGATAAAGAAAAGAAGAGAGAGAAAGAGAGAGAAATAATCCGTTGTGCAGGCAGAGCGGCGGTGCAAGTGCGCCGTGGAGAATTCATGGAGGTTTTCGCTGCGCGTGATGGAGGCGATGCGGTCGCTGCAGCGGGACCAGTCGTTCACTTCCACCGCCGAGGACATCGTCGACCACATCCGATCCAACTATCGCAGCGACGGCGACCTTTACGCTCAGGTGCGGACCTCGCTGAGACAGGTCTGTTCTCAAGGGTTAGTTCTCTCCCTCGCGGCGGCGAGATGCAGCGGCGGTCAGAGGTCGAAGGTCGAAGCCGTCTCGCGTGAGACAGCGCGATCGCGAGCTTTCAAGGCGACCGCTTATTGCTAGTTCTCTATCTCGTTTCCAGGCGGGCGCGTCTATCGACCGATTTCGTTCGTGGTGCTAATTGTGTAGACGCCATGTGTGCCGGTTCTTGCGTATACATTGCGAAATGCGCAATGTGAAATATCAATTTCGGCGAAAGCCGAGCGCGCTCCTCGCGGAATAGTAACGTGCTAGAATTTGGATCGGAAGGTTCCTAATTCATCTCTCCGAAATCATGGAGCTTCCGACCTATCGGTTTTCATCTTCAGGATCAATAAGTTTCGATCAACTCTTACGAGATTGTTTTTATCAATCGTTTCAGGATCAACAGGTTTTAATCAATCACTTCAGGACGGAGAAATTTTTTTCATCAGTCCTCTCAGAATCGATCAGTTTCGACCAGTCATTTTAGGATGAATCAGTTTTAATCGGGTTTGTCTCGGGATTAATAGATTTAAATTAATCTTTTCATAATCGACGAGTTTTAATCGATCGTTTCAGAATCAATTGGTTTTGATCAGTCGTTTTAGATTTAATCAGTTCCAATCGATCGTCTCAGGGTCGATGGATAATCAATTGTTTCAGGATCAATGATGATTAATTGACACAATCAATCGTCCCTCTTCCAGGCTCTTATTTGTAATCTTTATAGAATTATTCCCAACAAGAGGAGAAAAAAGTTCTAAAAGAAGCATTGTATTAAGACAAACCAACGATCGTGACGCCTTTGTGACAGGTTCGCTGTGGAGTTGCTCGAGAACCAGTACCACTTGATCGGTCCTGTCGGCGACCCGAGGAAGCCGAACGGCTGTTCCTTCGATTGCAGAGGTCGCGCGTCGGAGGACACCCCGACGAAGAGACGCGTCAGTGAGCGCGAAGCCGACGCAGCGTGTCGTCGCAGACACTCTCCCGCGAGAAACGGGAGACCACGTCGGAGTCCACCGTCGCGCGAACGTGCTTCGAGAGACACCACTCTGGACGACGACCTTGACGAAGATCTCTCGACGGAGGAAATTCTGCATTCGACCGCGAAATTATCGGACGACGGTGCTCACCGCGACGAGCTTCTCGATGCCACCGAGGTATCGCCATGAAATTTCCATCAGGGTGGAGATTAACCTCAATAACTATTCTATAATAACGAGTAAAAATGCTCTTCATATAATTCATATCAGAAAAAAGATTTCGTTGGTCGTGATATACTGAAAGTACGCAACAGAAATACTATAACTAGCACCGGTGCACCGTCATAAATCATACTCTTAGTCGTAGCGGGCGAAGAAAATTGCAGCTGACGCATGTGATTCAATCGAAGCTCACTCTCTCCGTCGCGCTTCTCTGTTTGTATCTAGAATTCTAGGATGCGCGAAGCGGAGCATGCGAGGGCGATCGCTGGGCCTTCCGGCGTGCTGGCAAGGGCGACTCCGGCGAGGAAAACGCGACCGGAGGATAGAGAAGAGCCTCATCCACGACGCGCAGATGAAAATCACGACGAAGAGATCAGCGCGGGGGAGGAGGAGGAGGGGGAGGAGGATCTAGACTGCACCTGCGTCGCTGAAGAGGCGCGAGCGAGGAAACGACCTCGAGATCGCCACCCTCGCGTCGCCACCGGAGACCGTCAGCGGGACAAACGTCGTCGCAGAAACGAAGAGGAGGAGGAAGACGCGGAAGACCGCGTGTACAGGAGGCTGAGGCGACATCCAGGTCGGAGGTCCGCGACGCGCGAGAGAGAGCTGAAGAGGTGGATCCGACGGTGCCGCGAGGAGTGCGAGCGACGAAGAGCACGACAACGCTAGTCATGAGAAACTTGGCATGGTCTATAAACGTTAATTATATATACAGGGTGTCCCGAAAAAATGTGCATACACTTGGAATGATTGTAGTCAGCGTTTGTTAACATACGGTTCATTTTCAAAATTTACAAATTTAGACGAAATCCACAGAAACGGATAATTTCTTTTTTTTCCTCAATGCCTGTTTCAAACTGATGACCGTTCTGGCCCAGGCACTGCGGATAACGCGATGCTGTTGTACTGTGTATACATTTTTCGGAGACACCCTATATGTAAGTAAAAAATACACGTATATAATTTTAAGTGCCTGTTGCATCGAGAAAAGATGAATGTCAATACAAAACTCATATCGTCATATAGAAATATTATTATACAACTCGGTTTTTATTATACGTGAAATATACGAATTGATTATTCCTGTCATATGTTGTAGACATAACATGACTCATGATTTAAATTAGATTAACGTCGTTATGCGATAATCATTATGTCGTAATATAGTAATCACATCATTACGTGTTCTAAACGGTTATTCTAATATGTTTTTCAACAATGTGCGAAATTTCGTGGGATTAAATTCGCTGACTTTCGCTTGATCAGATACCGCTGCTTACGATATTCGATCGATCCTCTTTGTAGCCTGTCGAGTTTCCCGGTGAAAAGATACCCAGACTTTCGGAAACGCGCAGCACATTTCTCCGAGGATTAATCGGAATTAACAATCCAGTCTGTAAGCCGTGCGAGATCGCTTGACGCACGTAGAACTTGGCGCGTCTTCGTTCTGAGCGAAGAAATCAACAATCGATTAATCGGTTTGCGAATGTTGCAAATTCATACGCATACTTAAGGAAAAAATATCTAAAAAAATTAAAAAAATATTCATTCGGTGCGCACTAATAACATATTTATTTATACCAATATACATATTTTTTACACTGAGAAGAATTTTGTTTAATCGAGAGGAAACATAAATTTTCTCAAATTTGCGGCTTTGCGTGAAATCAATTGTTTATCTTGTTTAAATAAAAAAATTTAGAGAGGTGTAAGTAAATATGTTATTAGATATTCATCGAAAACATATTTTTTAAATATTGATTAGTTAAAATATATATATAACGCGTTTGTGATATACGCATACCATCGCGGACGGCTCTTGCATAATCCGCAATGCATTCCTCCGAAGAGCTTTCACGCATCCTCGTTAAGGTTTCAGAAAGCTCTTTTTGATTCATACGCGCATATGCGTCACCGTTCGTCGCCTCGAAACTCGTTTGAGGCAATGCAGAAGCTAATCTGTGGATATTCTTTTTCTTCGTGTGTTTCTTGCGGAATCGATTACACGCGCAGTTCCGCTGCTTCCATCTCATGTCCCTTACGGCGATTTCGTTCAGGTATTTGTATACCAGGTGGAAAACGGTCGATTTCTGGATACCATATTGGGAAAGACCCTCTTTACCGATTTGCGCCGACGTAGTCGAGCTAATTGCGTTGGGAGAAGGGAAGTTCAGATTACCGTGAATCGATAGTGTCGTTCGTCTAAAGAACGAGCAAATCTTTTGTATATTGTTAATATTGCTATGTTAAAACAGGGATTTTGATACAAAGGGCAATTTGACAAATCTGTACTCGCGTTTGAACGTGACGTGATGCATGCGCGTTTTCCCAGGGTGTCGATGTTTCCAGTCCTCGGTCATGTCAAACAACTGGGATAAATAGAAAGTTATTCCTTCGACGACAATTTGGATAAATTGGAATTTTTATTTAAATTTGCAATAACGCTATTTTGCCTATTCGCCTCTGTTCTTGTAATAAATCATAAATTAATAATGCGTTATAGCGAGATATTCATATCGATCTGTCTGATATGTCGATGTCTCGTACTACTTAAAGGTACAAAGATACCTTCACCTTATTGTTTAGCCGTACGATTTGAAAGTGAAAAGATTTTTGGAACCGCCGTTGAGTCTTATTATTAAAAAAAAAAAAATGAAAAGATTCTTCGCCTTGTCAACGAGTCATATTACTTGAGAAATAGGAGTCTGTCGGACGTATTGTTGAGTAATACTACAAATCTGATTCGTCGGTAGGACCGGTGGCGGCTCATAGCGGATGCTTTGGAACTACACTTCGAATCAACAACCAGATTATCCGAGCCGTCAAAACGAGTCACCTGACGCCATCTAGTGGTCCTACCAGGGAACTAATTACACTCATGTCTCGAGCGTCGGCTAAGGAGAGTCTGAATTTCGACTGAGTAGAGTTCGAGTTTCGGCTGAATAACTTCAGAGAGAAGCCTAAGAGCGAGAGTGGTTATTGCTTGTTGGTCGGGAACAAATTGGGGATGCTTCTTGGTTACTGGCTGCAAACTTACATAACACAAGGTAAACATAAGATATACTTATTTAAAAAGTTACTATCTTGAATATTAATATAAAACACGCAGCTTCGAATGTACGGGTCTGTTTCGATTAATAAATACAACTGTTAAACTTTTCGATGAATGTGTATTTTTATCTTGAATAAAAAAATTCTTTGAAACGAAAGATAATTTTCTTAGGAAGAAATTATTCGTTTCATTTTACATATTTATTGTAACCGAATAATATTTTATTTGGTTGGCAGATATTTCAAATAGTGGCGTTCTTGCTACGATGCTAAATTCATTCTTGCTAAATGCGTACAAAATGCTAGAAAAGTATCGTTTTGTTCTTGTTTGATACTTAGTTAATGATAAAAATAGCTGGCGAAAATTATTTTTTGTGAATGTGATATATATATATAACTGCTCTTAGCGGGCAGTTTGTGTCAACGAGTTTCGCTGTTTCGACGAGTAGCTCCGGGAAATTCGATATCGTTGAATGAAGATTACGGGTAATAAGCAGATGGTAATATTCTTTAGCGTCCATCGGGGGTGGGGGGAGAGGGTACAATGGACTTGAAAGGCAATGTCGGAGAAGCCAGGAAGCAAACAGAATACGAATGGAGCCGAAACTCGTTGTACAGCGGCAGATCTTATCGCAACGAACTGTCAGGGGTGGATCATCGGATTGCTCTTATCCCAGCTTGCCCGAACGTTCCTCCCCTTTGACACACGCAACCCGAGCTTAGTCCCGATAACATAATAATGGCAAAGACGGCGTATGGTGATGCTGCGATAAACCTACAGACAACAGGATGACAGTAGCGCGAAGAGTTGGAACGTACCGAGATATTCCTTAATTCCTTGCGTGTCACACAGCGCTCTTTGTTTATTAAAAATATTACTGATATAAAAATACGCTAATATATAGTAACGGTCGTTAATTTGAATAAATGCTAAAATTATTTAGTTTCTGGTAGTTCAAGTAAAAAGAAAACGCGCATAACTGCACTCACAACCTCGTATGTACGAGGCATATATAGTCCAATTTACTTTTATTTTACTTGTAAAACTTCCCAAAGATAATTTGTATTTGTTGCGATCGAGATTCGGCAGGAAATAAATACGGGCGAAATAAAACAAAAGAAAAAAGGAGATATCCGTCAACGTTGCATCTTCGTGGGAGATTTCCGAAGGGAGGAAAACACGTACACATTTTTTTTATAGACTTTCTATAAAATCGCGTGCTTTGTGCCTTTTGTGGATTCCAATTAGATCGCGCCCGCGATGCGCCGCGCAGGGTTTTATGGTAGGGCACGTGTCAAAAAACTAAGCTTACACACAGACCGCGTCGGCGGGTTAAAAGCGCCTGCAGCTCGTGTAATATTAGGGGTTGAAATAATCGAGGGAGTGGGATTGTTGCGGTCTACTGAAATTTATGTTGCAACTCCTATTGTTAAATGCTCGACGTAGCCGTAATGATTACTGCGATGACGTCGATTCGGCAACTGTAAACAAATGACGTGGCGTTTTATATTTACTTTACTTTGGAAAACAATCGCCAATTTCGTTTCCCGTAATGCAATTTTATATACGCCAGAAAAAAGTTGGCGCGTTACCGTAAGGGTGTGCGCGTTGCACACACGGGTGGTGAAAATCGATCGACCACTTCCTCTCCTCCTCTTCTCATTTTTCTCCCTTCTATGGGAAGCCAAAGAAACCGGTGTTTGAAGGAAAACGATTTTGTATTGTATCCACGTGTGTAACGTTTACGATGCGGCACGTGGCCGCCAACCCCTGCTGCGCGCGCGCCACGTGCCGGCCAATCTAAATCTAATAACACAAACAGCTTCACAATAACGTACATCATACCCGCGGGGCGGGCATCGTTTGGCGGCGGGAGGTAATGGGACACCATGTGAACTAATCGCTCCGAAGTGGTCCTCCACGGATCCTGTTTCGCTATTTGTTGATTTTGGACTGTTCTCTTTCTCCCTCTTTCTTTCTTTCTTTCTTTCTCACTGTCTCTTTTTCTCTTGGGACAAACAGGCCGGCTGGGTTCAGCGATCGATGTATTATGCAAAATGTTTTCCGGTCTTTCTGTAGATCACGTGTCCCCGTGTCACAATTCTGCCGATATTTAACCCTTTCAATTCAATTCAATTCAAAAATTCTGCCCGTACGTCGGTTGAAAGGTCAAAAGTGACTTGAAAAGCTGGAAACTTCCACTATAAAATAGTACTGTTAAATAAATTATTTACCGTTGATTTGTCACTTTAATTTTCACAAGAAGAAGACTCAACAATAGCTTCGACGCGACGAAAGATCAGAAACAACTCTGACAACGCAATCAAACGCGCTTGGTAACAGAAACTGCTGCTTCAGCTTCAATTACTGTATACAGTAAACTAAATTCATGTACTGTCCGACAGGGTTTAATATTTATTTGTGTAAATTTATTTTACAGTCGAGGAATATAAGTATGTCGGTTTACTATATCTGTGTCAGTTTGGATGCTTTTCCTCTAAATAATAAACAGTCGCGTAATTTTTCATGATTCATTAATCTGCTCGTCGCGTGCTGTCCTCTCGATTAAAATCATAATTCGATTACACATCTTCGAAATATCTGATTTTGTATGGAATACTGACAAAAATGGACATCTAATAATTGAATACTTGATTTCCTCTCACCATATCAAATAATTTGCGTCGCAGAGAAAGAACGAAAATACTTACTGCGCCTCGCTACACCAGCAGCTGCAACATCGAGGAAGAGGAAGACCCGTCAGGGACAACGTCGGCAAAGGGAACAACAAAATGCGGAATGAAAAGATTGCTCCCGTCATCGAGGTCTTTTCGTCTCTTTTAATTCTCAAAAAGTAAGTTTAATTTATTTCAATATACACCGACGAGAGAGTGTTCATACGCGCGATAATGTGTGTTTATGTGTGTGTGTTGTCGCGTGCGTGCGTGCGTGCGTGTGTGTGTGTGTGTGTGTGTGTGTGTGTGTGTGTGTGTGTGTGTGTGTGCGTACAAGAACAACGCGTCTCGTAAAAGAGATGATGACGTGACGTGATTGAACCAAGGTTACAATCAATATATATTTATATATATATATATTATATATAATCAACATCACAAGATCACAGAGCACTCGGCTCCGGGACGAAGAATGCACTTCCTAGAAGAAAGGTACATACCAGGTCGATATGCAAAAAGGAACTCTTCATAATAATAACTTCTTTTTTTTACTTTTTTTCTCTCTCTCTCTCTCTCTCTGTCTCTCTCTCTTCTTTTATAACGACTCATTCTTCCGTTCTCGACAAAAAACGATACGATCTACGATCTCGTAAACTTGCCGCCGCCGTTACTGCCGCTGCAAAAACTCTCTCTCGGACTAATCGGGGCTGAGGGAAAGGACGGGGGGAGGGATATGATCGGGGGGGGATCTCTCAATTCTGGTACATGCTTCGTATACTTTCGTGACTTTGTGTGAGATTTTTTGTTTTTTTTTTTTGGTTCGGGCCGGCTTATCAAACGATCCAAATCAACTATATACGTTTTATACAGGTCGCAGGTTCGATCCAACTTTTTAACGTGTTTCGGCTCGATCGCGCCACCGGGGCGATATTACCGTTGCTGCTGCTGCTGCTACTACTACTACTCGTCATTCGTCCTGGCTTCGTCGCTTTTTTCTTTATTCTCTCTTTTTTTTGGGGGGGAAGAGGGGGTTTCAGAGTGAGGAATGGAACGGATTGCGATGAATTCGACTCGCGTGTCACGCGTGACGCGAACTCGTGTTCGCGATCGGGAATTATTACGTTAAAAAATTGGATGGCGCCGAGAGTATACAGTGATATATGTGCGGATGTGCGCGCTACGGACGCTCTACGTTTTTATTTACATCTATGTATAATCTTTCACTCTCTCTCTCTCTCCCTCTCTCTCTAGAACGACGTTAGTGTCACTTCGTTGGATTTCCTGGAGATAAATTCCTGTCCTTCTCCTTTCGCCTCCTCCGCCGCCTCCTGCTCTTCTTTCTCTCTCTCCCTCTCTCTCACTCTCACTCTCTCTCTCTCTCTCTTTCATTTTGTACATCGCAACAATATTTACAGATATTTTACAAATTACACGGTACGCTAACTAGGCGATATTGGTTAGTCTTAATCGTACGAGGGGGAGAAGGGGGAGTAGGAAGTTAAAATTTCGAAGTCGAAAATGCTCTCTAAAACTATGGTATCTGTTATTCACTGATAAGCGATATGTCCGTCGTGTGGTGTCGGGTTTCCTTCGACCCTCGCCAATTCCTCCGCCTCATTCGAATTATATAAAATATGTGACGCCTTTTGCTTTCGGCCCTCCGCGCGCCCGGAGTTCGCGGCTCTCGAATTCGCGACTCGTGGGGAAACCTACTTTCTCGCCTAATACTAATTCAGACTGAAAATATTCCACGGTTCGAAGCATCGAAGTTACGAATACAAGAGGCGTATCGTCGCAACAGAGATCGTGAAAATCTGTCGACAAGGAGGTTCCTTCGTGTCGTCGACACCGTCGACACTGAGACGATCTCTTCGTCGACAGATAATAATAATTAGCCGAACGATTGCGACGGAATCGAATAATTTAGAACGAGATCTGAGGTAACTAGATCACCATTTGTACAAATTTACAGAAAGATATTAAACAGAGGGGGATCGAACTCGATCGTCAGGATCTAAAAATGAACAATGTAGAGGCCATTTGATCCAAACGCAAACGATATACGATGTCCCTCATCACGAGAGACCTCAGATAACTTCGAATATTTCTCTCTCTCTCTCTCTCTCTCTCTCTCTTTTTCCTTCTCGTTTGTACGAATCATGTTTATACCTATTTCATTTAACCAGCTTCTTTGCGAGAGTTACCGTGCCTCTTCATTTAACACACCGTCCTCTCTTCCCTCCGCAGGATACATCTAAATTTAACGTTAATTTGTCATTATTAACTGCCGTACACCGTTATTCCGGTATTTAAGTCGAGATTGATCAAAATAAACGGATCGGAACGTCATCGAAAAGCGGACTTTCCGCCGCTGATTTACGCAACTTCGACGATCTCTCGCTCCTCCGCTTCGCTGCACGCTTCGCGCGAGCGTGGCCTCTACACCGTTTACTTTCAGAGATTACGCAATATTACGCGTTTAATTCACTTCGAGACCGGTATCCAACGCATCAGCTCTAAATCAGTACCGATAACGCGAAAGAGAAAACACGAAAGGGAAAAGCCGGTTCGTCAGCCGGGGTTTCATTTTCTGCAACGACCCACGCGCTCGAGTCCGCTCGAGACCGGAGCCGTTGACGCGGCTCACAGAACGCGAAAGACACCTTCTCGTTGTTCGATATGTATCGTTCCTTAACTAGCGCGTCCGACCAACCAGCTGATCGACGCGAGACAGCTGTCGCGGATTTTTGCACTGGTTTACCTGATTCCTTACGAACGACGCGGACTTTCACTCCGACGAGAGAGTAACACGCACGCGGACAGACGGTCCTGCCCCCCTCCTCCTCCCCCCTCACGCAGCCATACGTGAAAGAATCGGAAGGAGGAGGAAGTGATCGCGCGGTGCACGCGGTCGAATTCGCGGGGGGGTCGTCAGTTCGTCGCTGTTTCGCACGAGGGTGGTTCCCGCCGCGCTTCGGTGCCGTGCGGTGCTTTCGTCGTCGGAGCTTACATCTCGTAGCACTATTTGCCGTTCGACGAGAGCAGCGGACTGGCGGCGGCCGAGTACCCTTGGCTGCAGGTGGGCAACATAAACGGGTTCATGTTGAAGGGCGAACCGACCACCTCTCCTAGTCCTGCAACATGCCCACTGTCGGTTATACGTTAGTAATCCGCTATTGCTTAAACGCTACGGCAACGTGCGGCGTGTGTCATGAGCGTATGCGAGACAATAAGCAACGACAACAAGCGGGCAACGTTCGGTCTTTGCGCCACGACAACCAGGGGAAACTCAAGGGAGAAGGGGGGGGGGAGGGACGCAGCGGAAATTATTTATTCAATTTGACACGGAGAGAGCAGAAACACGGCACAGATGATCCTCCTTACTTCTTACGGAACTGAGGCGCGTGCACACGTATACAAGCACTTATTGTATATTATTACATATGTTTAGGTTCCTTTATATTTTTATATATTATGTATTGTTATATTATATATATATATATATATATATTATGTAGAAGGGAAGCACTAAAACCGATGTATCATTTTGTTTCGCGGCTCTGAAGTCTTGTTAGAGGTGAGAAAGTATAATTTACACGAGCGTGGGTGCAAATCGGCAACGTTTCTTTAATAAAATATGTGATAGTCTTGTGAGAATTATTATGTATTTCCTCGCAAATAAATATCTTTCAAGATATTTTGAGGATCGACGCTTCCAGAAGCTATGCTCCAAAATCGACACATCCGTGATATTTATAGGAAATTATGAAAAACATAAAAGCCCAGAAATTACATTAATTTTACATTAATCGTATATCCTGTTACTTTAATTTTCCACATATCTGTTGCTTTAATTTTCACAAGAAAGTTCAACAAAGAGGTCATCCCGGATGCGTGCGAATATTTCGAAGGCGTTCAGAATGATACGCGATATTAGTGCTATTTGAATTATTAATCGACTTAACTATATTAATCGACGGAAACTACACAGCGACGGCGGCAAAAAAGAGAAAGAGAGAGAGAGAGAGAGAGAAAGAAAGCGAGAGCAGCCGAGACTTAAGCCTAACACACACAAAGGATCGGCACGTGTCACGATCGCGCAGTACCGAGGCAACGATCGCAATAAACAAATCGCGTAAAGTGAGAGCGTACATACATTCTCGAGTGCCGTCTCGTAATTCTTTAATCGCAATGCATAGGGTGGTTGGTGGTGGTGATGGTGGTGGTGATGGTGGTGGTGGTGGTGGTGGTGGTGGACGGTTAGCGGTTACTGGGCGGCTGTGGCGAGGTGGTGCTGTGTGGACCAGTGCGGTGGGACTGAGGTGGTCGGTGGTCGTACTACGGGGGCGAACGCACTCCCGTCCCCGGACGTATAGAAAATGCCGTATTGTTCGTGCGCTAAAAACGAAAATTCCACATAAGGGGGAAAATCATAAGTGCAACATCGTGCAAAGTCGTGGAAAGTAGAACGCTAAGTCGGCAGAAGCGCATGCTCGTGGACCGGCCGGGCGACGACGACGCGCGTCGCCCACGTGCGCGTCGTCCGCATACATGCACGTCGCGGACTCGTTCCGAGCTCCGTGCCGCCGGAAGCTGTACAGCCGAGAACGAGAGATCTCTCACGCCCACGGTTGTTACAATGCACACGGTGTTGTGAACAGCGCGCGAAAATAATCTCGGATGGGGGGAAACGAGATTTTCAGATTAACCGAACGTAAAATGAATGTATTTGAAACAGCAAAGGGCAACGAGATTTCGCGACCACGAGAATTCGGTAGAGATTTGAATTGCTCAATTGACCACTTTCGCAATAGCTTTTTATTAGTATCATTAAAATAACAAACAGATTATTATTATATGCTGATATTAAATTACAATATTTACAACGTTAACTGATTACAACGTTAACTGATGTTAAATAATGAAATTCAATATAAATAAAATTAAGATTTCACAGAGTGTTCCACGAGTGTTACACAGAGTGTTCCACGAGTGTTACACAGAGTGTTCCACGAGATAACTGATAAACTTCTGGAATGTGTTCTGGGAGGCGTTCTAAGCAAAAAAATTCGGGTACACTATAGATTAATTCGGTTCAGTTACAGAAACATGATAAATGATTTCTTGTCAATAATGCAAATGTTTGGATGACGACCTCGCTTTGGATTTCTTTTCATGGGATTGTTTGAAAATGACGAGCCAGAGATCCGTTAATAGATGTTTGACAAAAAAAATAGAGAACGCAGATAATATTCGCATTGAACTTAGACAGATTAATTGGCAATGATTATGGTACAATGAGAAACAGCATGTTTACAACCAGATAGGTATTCTGAACGAATAATATGACCAGTCGAAGAATATTCACTTAATAAAAGTTATAAACGTCTGACGCCTCTCGTCTATCACAATATTAGTAAAATTCTCTATATCCCAATAAATGAATTTATCTATAATGTATCTGAATTTTTCTATTATCTCTGGAACACGTTCTAGAAGTTGGTTTCCTTGCAAAACACGCTATATATATTACATATTAACTCCGTGCCGATGTGATCGATTTGACGATACCCGCGATTCCGCTTCCGAATGCAGGTGCGACTTTGCAAACCGGTGTATATCAATCTCGGTTCACAATGTACACACACACACACACACACACACATACACGCACAGAAACACATATACACACAAACACACAGCTTGGACTTCTGCGGAAATTGTACGTAACGCAGGATCGCACTCTAGGACGAGAGAG